ACTTGGGTGACCCGCTGGCATAGGACTTTCCTACGAATATAGAGGATGAAATCATCCTCCCCAAGAATTTTATTTAGGCAGATAAGCCAGGCGGTGAACTCATAATAAGTGAACAGGCTCTTAAATTTTGTTATAGCCAAACAGATTTTTTGCCCTTCTCCCCTTTTTGTATAAAAAGGTTAATGCGTTCTGACCCTTTCCATTGTTAAGGCTGTAAAGCCTAGGGTATGGGTGAACAAACTCTGATCATGCTGGTGAGCAAAAATGACGTAGCCACTGGGACGTAGGTTTCTTACAGTCCGACCAGTTGTACTCAGCGTTCGTTTCTGCAACCCTTACTTCTAGATCTTAATGTGAGAGAGGTTGGTCATAGAGAATGTTTGCCGGTGGATATACTCTTAGATACGTGTCGACTCTTTCCGAGTTAAGGCTAGAAAAGTTCGAGTGCGAAAAAACTCGATCACGCTGGTGAGCAAAAAACGCCAGAATGTCATTGGGGCATAGGTTTCTTGCATCCGACCAGTTTTACTCGGTATTCTGTTTTCACAATCCTCACTTCGGGTCTTAACGTGAGAAAGGGTTGGTCGTAGAGAATGTCTACCCCCTGTCATTGCTGGGGTCGGGTGTCACTAAAGATCGGGGAGTCGGTAGCGAAACTGATAAGAGAAAGTGTGCGTATATTAAGGATAAAAATGACGTAGTCGCTTCGATGTTCCGAGAGTTGATGAAGACTTCGCCGCCGATGGTCTTGAGCTTGTAGGTGCTCGTTGGAGCACTTTCGTGATAATGTACGGTCCCCCGCCATGGTGGAGAGAGCTTTGTGGCAGTTCTTGTTGCTCTGGATGAGGTGGAGCACCAGATCCCCGACGTTGAAGGCCCGACCCTACACTCGACGGCTGTGGTACCGACACAATGCTTGCTGGTACTTGGTCGAGCGGAGGAGGGTGACATCAGGTGCTTCATCTAGCTAGTCCATGGCATCCTCGAGGGATGCCTCGGCTCCCCCTTTGTCATCATGCGCCTTGACCCTCGGTAGCTCCATAATCGAGGTCAATTAGGATGATAGCCTTAGAACTATAGACCATGAAGAATGGTGTATAACCATGGGTCTTACCGGGGTCATCCTCGAGCTCTAGAGCACCGTGGGAAGCTCTCGACCCATCATCCGCCAAACTTGTTCAACCGGTTGAAGATCCTAGGCTTAAGGTCATGTAGGACCACGCCGCTTATGCTACCGACCGCTTTTGTTAGATGCGGGGTGTGCCACAGCGGCCCAATCGACGCGGATGAGGTATTCATCGTAGAATCGGAGGAACTTCTTTCTAGTGAACTTTGTGCCATTGTCCGTGATGATGGAGTTCGGGATCCCAAAGCGATGGATGATGTCAAGGAAGAACAACACGGCTTGCTCGGACTTGATCGCGGAGATCGGTCGAGCCACTATCCACTTTGTAAACTTGTCTACAGCGACAAGCAAGTGTGTATAGCCCCCCGGCACCCTCTTGAGAGGTCCGACTAGATCGAGCCCCCAGACTACGAATGGCCACGTGATGGAGATCGTTTGGAGTGCTTGGGCCGGTAGGTGGGTCTACCAAGCGTAGTATTGACATCTTTCATAGGTGCGCACAATCTGTTCAGCACCGGCTACTACTGTCGTCCAGTAGAAGCCCTGTCAGAATGTGTTTCCGACCAAGGTCCTAGGCGCGGCATGGTGCCCGTAGACCCCACTGTGGTTATCACTCAGCAACTGTTTTTCTCGTTCGATGGGGATGCAGTTTTATGGGATCCCGGTGTGGCTTCACCTGTAGAGCTCGCCCTCAATAAGGACAAAGGACTTGGTGCGACATGTGAGCCGCCGAGCCTCTGTTTTGTCCGTCGACAGCGCCTCATGAAGGAGGTAGTCGAGGTAAGGAGTCCTCTAGTCGTCCAGAGGGTCGGGCTCTATCGCTGGATCCTCCTCACGCCCCGACGCTATTCTTGATGTGAATCCTCAGGTATGGCCTATCATGGTCGTGGGTTACATCGGGGCGTGTCGGTCTCTTCCTTGGTATCAGAGTTTTGACCTAGACCCACACGCTTGGACCTGGAGTGGTTGGCGGTGGTATGGGTCCCTGTCGAGCGAGATGGAGCCCGGGGCCTCGGGGTCGGGCGAGGCGGACCCCGTGGCCTCGGGGTCGGGCGAGGCGGAACCCACCCCAGAGGTCGGGCGAGGTGGGGCACGAACCCAAGGATTGGGCGAGGTGGAGCCCGGGGCCTCGGGGTTGGGTGAGGCGGAGCCCATGGCCTTGGGGTCGGGCGAGACAGAGCACAAATCCAAGGATTAAGCAAGGCAGAGCTCGCGGTCTCAGGGTCGGGCGAGGTGGAGCCCGTGGCCTCGGGATCGGGTGAGGCAAAGCCCGCCCAGGAGGTCGGGCGAGGCGGAGCACAAACCCAAGGGGTGGGCGGGGCGGAGCCTACGGCCTTAGGGGTGGGCGAGGCGGAGCCCGCCCCTAGAAGTCGGGCTGGGTCGGAGTCTTCGCGCCTAGGGTCGATTGAAGTTGTAGTCGCGCTTTTGACTACTCGGATGAATCAATGTTGATGATCATTAGCTTCTCCTCTTCAGGTACCCTAGTATTGGTCCCCCGACAGCGACATTCATGACGCAAAAACTGTTGTATGGCTAAAGACAATAGTTTATGTGGTGTTTAAATATAGGGAGTAAAGTTTAGGGATGTCACATCGGGTGTCATATCGGGGTGTCACGTGAGAGTGTTCGGATAGTAATAATAAAATAAATTACAGAAGTCCTCATTAATCCGCGAGACGAATTTATTAAGCCTAATTAATCCATCATTAGCACATGTTACTGTAGCACCATATTGTCAAATCATGGACTAATTAGGCTTAAAAAATTCATCTCGTAAATTAGTCGCAATCTGTGCAATTAGTTATTTTTAGTTTATATTTAATACTCTATGTATGTGTCAAGCATCCGATGTGATAAGGAAATAAACTTTAGGGAGAACTAAACAAGACCTTAGTTAACAATTTGAGTGATGTCAAAACAGCAATTACAACCGAACATAATTGTTCGGCTATATTAAAATTTCAAAAAAAAAAACACTAAGCGCTGGGGGCATGCCAGAGATAAGATGAAGTTTTTAGATCTCAGTAATAAAGCTCAGGGCCATGGCAAGCACAGGATGATAAGCCGAAGCTTACTTCCAAAGAGCTTCTGGCTAAGTATAAGAGGAGGTGGATGCAACGAGTGGTAACCGGCCTAACAATATCAAGCAATCAAGATCATCTCCAAAATCTAAAAGTTGGAATTGGCAAGGAGAGGAGTTTTAGTCTCGTGGACCAGCTTATTCATATCTTCTAATATTTGTCATTAACAAATAAATTAAGGATTATTAGTATGTTATATTATTACTTAGTAATTATGATGGTAGGATTAGTTTTGATAAGTGCTAATACATTGATTAGTGCATGTTTAATGTGCTAATTAGGATATTAGTGGTGCTAATTAACATATTTTATTTTAAATTAGTGCTTATCAAAATTAGTATTAGTACATATTTATTAGTGTCTACTCCTTCCGTACCATTTTATCTGGCGCAAGTTAGAATGATACGGTCTCATAGATTACACTTTAACCATTTATTTGTTTTATATTATATTATTTATGTTTATAAACTTATAATCATTAGATAGTATAATTCCTTACAAATCTAATCATATAAAGTTTGTATTATAATAGTTAAAAATTATTAGCCTAATTATTAGTCAAAGTTTTTAAAGTTTGAATCTTGATATGCGTGTGCGCTAGATAAAATGAAACAGATGTAGTAATTAGTTGTTATTATTTTTAAATAATAAATAATAGATATAATTAGTCAACTATTCTCGTCCCATCCACTTCTATCCATCCAAACAAATAGAAAAATGGCTTATCCCATCCATCCAACCAACACATGTATCATGAATATCCTTATCCCAATATCCATAGATCGTCATATCTCATCTAACATCGTCCTCGAACCAAAAACACCCTAAATTAGCACCATTTTGCCTCCCTCGGTATGGAGAGAGAGGGGCGCAAAATGGACTTATTTTTTAGAGGATTTTCCTTCTGCCCTTTTTCTAACGTCCACAATGACCTTCTGAAGGAATGTGGCCCAAGCCCAATAGATATTGTGAAGCCCAGCAAACGTGCTAGCGCCGGCGGGCCCTCCCACCGCACCCTTCTCAGTCCTTGTCCTCCTCGCCAAATCGGAATCGGGAATCCCCTGTCGGTCGCCGCCGCCGTCGCCTCCTGCCGCTGCCTGCCGAAACCCTAGCGGGTTGACGCCGGCGCTATCAAATCGAGGGTCAGCGCAGCCAATCAGTGCTAGCGGCGGCCAGGCAGATCGGCACGGACAAGTCGCTCTTGGGGGCGAATTGGACGCGTCTACGCGGGCAAATCCTAGAGGCTGTGCCCGTGCCGTACTACGGTTGTGGCCTGCCGGCCGGTGTTGCTCAGTTGCCCGCCCGCCGGACAGGCGACGGCCGCCCGCGGGAGTCCGGCGGCCCGGGCGTCTGTCAGCAGCAGCGCAGCTGGTATTTGACATTTGAGTAATTGAGTGTTTTGCATTTGTTCTTACAACTTCAATTGCACAATGCACAACCCCAAATTCTTGATTTCTAGTATGCACAACGTATGTGGCCCTGTGCGGATTCATGGGCTCCGCCACTGTCTATATGCCACAATCCCCAATTCCTGATTTCTATACTAAGCATTTGCTTGGCCCCGTCATGCAAATTCACTGGCAACGCCACTGTCTACACGCAGTGTCAAAATAATGCAAAATCCGTCGCATGTGTTATACATCAAGCCATGCTAATGCACATAACAGCAGACCAAACATCAACGCATAAGGCTACCATGATTTTCCTTCTTAAGCTGAATGATTCGGTTGAGACATATCTGACACTTGTGCATGTGCCACTCTTCTTGTGATCAGGGCCTGGATGCTGAACCAATGGTGTCGGCCGTCGGCTGCTCTTACCCTGTTACTGGAAGGAAGCGTGTAAAGTTGTTGGCAACCGAGTTGTCGTATAGTGAACCCCTTGTCTGTTGCGTGCCAATATGTGATGATTCACTGGGGGACTTGCCTGACCGGTACAAGGCTTCACTGAAATCGCATCTCTTCAGCCTTTTACCTTCCTTCTATTTGTATTAAAAAGTTACGTAGAGCTTTAATGCTTTCCTGCATGATTTATCAGGTGCTCTGAGCGGCATCACATGGCTTCCGGTAGTGGTGATCAAACGCAGAACACTGGTGTGTTTCCTGCAATGCAGGAATATGCCTGTTCCACTGGTAACAATGGTGTGGTTTATCCACAATATGGGATTGGCTATTCGTCTGGTCAAAATGGGGCACAGGGCGCATACTTGCAACATCAACATTTTGAAGGTTGCATGTATATGAGTGGGAACGGGCAGATGTGTGGACCCTACCCACCTGAACAACTGTATGAGGGGCTGTCCACTGGTTTCTTGCCTCGAAGCCTTGCTATCTATGCTGTTTTTGGTGGGAAAACAGCCGATCCTGTGCAGTTGATCTTTCTGAAACAATTCCTTTCACAATGGAATGTCGGTGCCATGGCTTCCACCCCAAATGCATCGACGGAGACAGAGAAAGTGGCTTCCCATGCTAAAATGGTTTTTCCAGATGTATGGCTTGCTCTTCTGTCTATATTTGTTCGTGTCATCCTTAGCTTGCCTGCCTTCCTGACTGCTTTGGTTCCTGCTTCCTCCCTGTTAGTCTCTTTCAAACGAAGAATCATGCTGGATGTTTGAGGATTCAGAAGGTTGCCAACAAGGGCCACATTCTCTTGCTGAACTTTCCTATTGGCATCACAATAGCTATATCCAAGATCTTTCAATGGTATGGAAATCAGATATGAAAATTCTCACCTTCTGGATCTCATTAATTCTTTGTGTAAGCAAAAAAAGTATGTATCACGTAAAATTATGACATTCTTGATTGCTTCTATGTAATGCAGCACTTTCTTTGTGAGTGAAACACTTTCTTATGATTTGGTCACATCTGTCAATGGCTCAAGAATATTACTAGGCTGTTGGATATCCTAATATGTAATAGTTGGAGGAGTTTCTCTCTCTCGTTGAAAAAAAACTCTTAAAATTTGGTTCATTTGTTGCCATGAGTTCCCTTGGCACTTTACGTTAGATTAGCATATCATAGTACAGTATTATTATTTTCATTCTTGGCAAGTACTGTACATACTATCTTGTAACCCAGCCAGGTTGAATAAGATTTACATGATGGATGAGAAAAACCGAGATAAGATTCTGTTGAAATTCATGGAAGTCTTCCCTGCCTTTTGTTCCTGATTTAAGATAATCTATAGACTTGATGTGCATCTAGATCCTTCACTCTCATACTACACATTTCCTCCTATCTCATGTTCCAACTTATGAAATAAGTTTTAATTTCTCAACATAGTTTACAATCTGATGAATTATTCTAATAATTTTACTTCAGATTTACCATGTTGATGGCAAATTTGGCCCATTCACACTTGTATCACTAATGGGTATGTGGAGTGGGGAACACAAAGAGCCTTCGGAAGCTACAGCTAACGATTCTGCATCATTGAATGGCTTAGTGGGTGACATAGTTGATGATGTTAGCCATCAGCTGCATGCAGGGATTATGAAATCAGCTCGCAGGGTTCTAATTGATGAAATATTCAGCTCTATACTTCCAGATTTAATTGTTTCCAAGAAGACTGAGAAGCAACTGGCTGCAAAACTGAAGAACCAAGTTACTAAGGTTTGTTTTATTTATGAGGGGTTTGTCTAAGGAGGGAGCTGCGTCTTACTTTTCCTTTTCAGCTCTTAATAACCTGCCCTAGTTGCGCTATTGTTTGCAGCCTGACAGTGTGAGCAACAAGAAGGATTCCACAATTAAGGTCAAAGTTAACACATCATCTACTGTTCCAAAAAAAGGCAACTCATATAATACTGCCCCAGTGGATTGTTCAGTGGCAATTCAATTTACAGCAGTGCATGGTAAATTTGCTGATATACTACCAGCAGTTTGGCAAACAGTTTATTATGAATCCATGAAGAATGTATGGGACGAAATACTGTCTGAACGTGTTATGGACTACTGTGATGTATGGTTACAGAGAAATTGTATATTGAATCTGCCCTCTACAAGTATTTCTGTCATCCCTGATGATAACGTGAAAGCCCAAGACAGTCATGAATTGTCACCAAAGGTGTTTTCACTGGGGCTGAACGTGTTTCTTTCTTGATAAGAGTGGTTTAGTGTTTTATAAACCTTTGTTATTATTTCACAGCTGATATGTTGTGATACTTTCATGGTTTTGCAGGATTTAGATGCTACTGAATGTGACATGGACTTTCCACCTGGATTTGGACCATGTTGGAAATCTCCTGAGAACTCCCTCTCTCCATCCTTATTAGAAGTCAATGGAAGTGCTATGGATGGGAAGTCTGAATCAAGCACCACTTTATTTTCTGGCCCCTTAGCAGTAGTCCAGAGGATGCTGGCAAATGAACTATATATCTCATCGAAGCAATCTTTATTTCACTATTTTGAGGAGGTTATTGCAGAGGAGATAACAAATTGTTTATGCTTTGGACTCGAAAGCAGTATTGATCAGGTGAGCTGAAAGCAAAAAAGAAATTTTCCTGATTACTGCTAATACCCCTGAATTCCCACAATTTGTTTCGGTAAATGTCACAGGAACAAATTGGTACCCCTATTCACGCACCAGAATCACCCATGTCAGCTGAGACGTCTATGCATGAAACACTCAATCCTATTGAGATGACTGGAGGTGATGAACTGAATATTGTTGAAATGGCTATGACCACAAGAACCAGTCCAATTGAAATGGCTGTAGATGAAGAACTGAATACCGTTGAAGCTACAAGAACCAGTCCAACTGAACCGACTTCAGTTGAAACATCAACTGCTGCTGAAATGGCAACAGATAAAATGCCCACTTCTCATGGTAAATGAGCAGCATCCTTCTGTTATGTTCTTCCATTCTTACCTGTGTTGTGCTTGATTGCATTTTTCTTATTCCCTTGTAAAGTGTGTGCAGTGGAAGAGCACCTATCCATGTCGTATGTGAGGATATTTGAAAAGATGGATATATGTAAAACAGCAGAATTGGATGAGAAATTTGATGAAGTGCCTCCTGGAATGGAGACTGGCTTAGTCCCTTTACCACTTATGGACAAAAACATATATAGACCTTCAAAATCAATGAACTCTATTCCTTTGATTTCTAGATATATAACTTTGGCTCTCTGCCGGCAAAAACTACATGAGAATGTTGTGAGAGAGTGGACATCTCTCTTCTCTGATACAATTAGCAAGTGCTTGGGCTCATGGTACACCAGGAGAAATGCTGTAACTAAAAGCGCAGATGAATCATCAAAACTCAAAGAAAAAACATACTACAGGAAGAGGAAATTTGAGAAAACATGTCAATCAAAAACATCAAAAAAACCAGTGGAAATCTCAATGGATGAGCAGCTTTCAAAACCTCTTTGTCAGCTTGTTGACCGCAAGATTTATATGAAAAATATCCAGGAATCAAACAAAGCTTTGACATCAAAGAAAGTTTCATTTGTGGACAAGCCGTCCAAAAAAGGAGCCAAAACTGTGGCTAATGATGCTCATGATTTGAATATCCAGCAAGATCTGACACTCCTTTCCAGTGAGGTGCCAAAAAGTAAGTCTTTTGATCTGTTTCTTCTTCTGATACATAGGTTTGTATATATTTGTGATATGCCTTTCCTTTCCAGGAGCCAGGTCATCTCATCCAACTAAGAAGCACATGGCTGCTAACAGGACACCTACGGGGAATGATAATGTGGCGGATAATAGTATTCTCACGAAACATGTCAAGAAAAAAAAGGGCAGGGACATTCCCAGTGAGACCAGTCAGAAGGTAAAACCGATGATCTCATGCCCAGAATCAGATGGCTGTGCTAGAGTTTCCATTAATGGATGGGAGTGGCGCAATTGGGCGCGAAATGCTACTCCATCAGAAAGGGCTCGTGTGAGAGGGTACCGTGTTCGGACTATTCTTTCTGCCTCATCAAATAATAATGTGTGGATAAATTCTCAAGCAAAGGTTTCATCTGCAAGAACAAATCGGGTTAAACTGCGAAATCTGTTAGCAGCCGCTGAAGGTGCTGAGCTGCTGAAAATTACCCAAATGAAGGTAAAACAGAGCTATATATTCTGATTCTGACATTTCTGTTTATAAGTGGTTCTGATGATTCTCATTTATTCCTTTCTCGATGTGTAGGCAAGGAAAAAGCGCTTGCGTTTTCAGAGGAGCAAGATCCATGAATGGGGTCTGATCGCGCTTGAGTTGATCGAAGCAGAAGACTTCGTTATAGAATATGTTGGTCAACTGATTCACCGGCGGGTAATCATGCATTATTCAATCAACCATTGTTTCACTGACATGCTTGTTTTGAGCAACGTGTTAAAGAATGATTTGTACCCTATAGGTCTCTGACATACGTGAGTCTCAATATGAGAAGAGTGGGATTGGAAGCAGTTACCTCTTTCGCTTGGATGATGATTTTGTGGTGGGTGATGCAGATCATTCCTCACTTAATGCAGTATTGCTTTGGTGTCTTCATTTTTTTCTTTGATTACGAAATAAGAAACTCATGTGTTATCTCAAGGGGTACAAAATAAACAAAATATGTGAAAATGGTTAGCTAGAGCATAAAGGAAACCTTTTAGTTGGTTGGGAGCCGTGCTATTATTATTTTTTGAACAAAAACACTGGGGCACTTCTTGACAGAGTGCCTACTTCTTTGGATGGATGGTAATGGTAATCGTACTGCTATAGTGCTATGTAATCTCAAGCTGCAACCAAAAAGAAAAGGCTGTCAGTTTTTTTATTCCACCTTCTGTTTTTCGTTCTAGTGTTCATTGCCCAAGTATCTTAATTTATGCAGGTCGATGCCACTAAGCGTGGTGGGTTAGCAAGGTTCATAAATCATTCTTGTGACGTAAGTGTTCAAGAAAAGATTATTCAATTGCGATGCTTGTAAAATGCTAAGTAGTTGTTTCATATTTTCCATGCCAGCCAAATTGCTACACAAAGGTGATCACTGTTGATGGCCAGAAGAAGATTTTCATTTATGCAAAGAGGCGTATATATGCCGGTGAGGAAATTACATATAATTACAAGTTTCCATTGGAGGAAAAAAAGATACCTTGCCATTGTGGTTCTCGGAGGTAAATCTGCTAATCACTATACAGGAAGGCTGAAGGCTTTTGTTTTGTCAATTGAGATCTATTTCATGAAGATAATGTGTTTCAAATGGTGTTACGGGTATTAAGTTTGGCCGCCCTTGTAGTCTTATCGATGTTATTGGTACTACTTGCATGTATACACAATATAAAAATTTGGAGCCAAATAAAATGATTTCCTTACCAAACTGTTGATGATGCGAGATTAGAATACTTGTATTTGAGAGCAAATATGTCTCGGGATTGATAGATTGATATCAAGAGTACAGGGTACAATATATATATATATATAGGCAAGGATCCGGAGGGTTTATAGAAACACCCAATCAACGGTGATCCTTGCCTTATCAATCTAACTTAACCCCTAAGGCACTAGCCGCATGGGCCTTAACACCAGGCCCATAACAGCCCTATCAGGCGCCTATGCTAACACGCCCCCACAGTCAGATAATCGTCGGCCACTCGCACGCTTAGATCGGACTGAACTCCGTGAACACTGAGGTAGGCAGCCCCTTGGTGAAGATGTGCGCATATTGCGAAGAGGTGGGAACATGCGAACACGAAGGTCACCAATGGCGACTTCGCTCCGGACGAAGTGAAGATCAATCTCGATGTGCTTGGTGCGCCGATGTTGCACCGGGTTGGAGGTCATGTAGACGCAGCTTGATGTTGTCGCGAAGATACACGGTGGCGCGCTACCGAAGAGGGGCATGCAACTCTAGGAGAAGTCAAGCGTAGCCAAGTTGCCTCTGCAACTCCGTTAGCCACCGCGCGATATTCAGCTTCAACACTTGATCTTGATACTGTGTTCTGGCGCTTGGAGGACCAAGAAACAAGATTGTCACCAAGGAACACTGCATAGCCCGAGGTGGACTTATGAGTGTCCCACAACCAAATTTAATCGGTGTCGGTGTAGACGACAAGATCGGTCGAAGTGGAAGGTCGCAAAGAAGAGACCGAGGTGGAGTGTGCCCTTAACATAGCGAAGGATCCGCTTTAGCAAATGAGGTGAGGCTCTCGAGGTCGTGCATGTGAAGAAGACAGACTCTTTGAACAGCATATGCAATGTCTGGGCGGGTGAATGTCAAATCTTCAAGGGCTCCAAGAAGACTCAAGCGAAGTCGGTAGCATCGGACATTGGGGGCCTCCCTCGTGGCGGCAACCTTTAGGATTGGTGTCCACCGGAGTAGAGCATGGCTTTTGCACTCACCATTCCGTAGCGATCGAGGATATCCAAAGATGTATCGTCATTTGTGAGAGCAGGAGTCCATCATCACTACCGAACATGCATGCCGAGGAAGTGATGTAGTTCACCAAGATCTTTCATGGCGAATTCTCATTTGAAGTCTTTGAGATGATCCGTAGAAGAAGGTCTCGATGATGAAGCCGTGAGGACAATGTCGTCAACATATAGCAACAAGTAGGTCGTATTCGGAACCACGCCGGTAGACGAAAGAGTGAGGTGTCGACTTGGCTTCAACAAACCCAATAGACAGCAAGAAAGTAGCCATTCGACTGTACCAAGCACGAGGAGCCTGCTTCAGGCCATAGAGTGATTTCTTCAGAAGGCAGACAAAATCCGGATGAACTGGATCTTCAAACCCGGATGGCTGCTGGCAATACACCGTCTCAGTCAAATTGCCATGAAGAAAGGCGTTCTTCACGTCCAGCTGGTGAATGGGCCAAATGACGGGAGAGCGCCAAGACAACTGCCGTCTGAACGGTAGCCAGCTTCACCACAGTGAAAGGTTTCATCAAAGTCCACACCGGGCCGTTGGGTGAAACCACGGAGGACCTAACGTGCCTTATGTACCGCTCGAGGAGCCATCAGACTGAAGCTTGTGCTTGAAGATCCACTTCCCAGTGACAACATTGGCCTGGGGCGGACGGGGCACAAGATCCCAGGTGTGGTTCTGCAGGAGAGCACTGTGTTCTTCCTCCATAGCCGCTCGCCAATTGAGATCAGCAAGAGCGCTACGGAAGGTCTTCGGCACCGGAGAGAGTGGCACAACATGGTAGGCGGCGAGCATCCGAAAGCCGCTCTTGAACAGGTGCCCATAGAGTCTTGGTTGTACCGGAGGGACAACAACAAGCGCCTTTGGGCAGCGGCAAGCTGCTGCTGCAGGGACCGATGAAGAGGCAGCCGGCAGCGGGGCTGCTGCTGCAGGAACCGTTGCAGGAGCTGCTGGGATGACCGGTGGAGGTCGCGGGCGACGCAAGTAATGGTACGTGAAGTCGCGGGCCGAGTGAAGCGGTGGAAATCCGGTGGAGGCCCGCGGGGCGCCCGAGAGGCGCGAAAACCTCGCGGATCGCGCAGGGACGTCGCCGAGCCGCCAAGCAGCCAGGGGGGACGTGACAACCCAGCCAGGGGACGTCTTTGCCAGACGCACCTGGCCGGTGTTAGGGCGCATGCCGCGCGTGGCGCGGAGTCCGCCGCCGGGGACCGCGGGGGGCGCGCGATAGGGCTTCTGGCGCTGTCAGATGAAGGCCGCGTGGCGGCGCGAGGGTGTCGCCGATGGCCGAGCGCAGAGTGGGATGTAGAGCCACGGCACCGGGCGTTGTCGGCGACCTCGGGCGCCCGAGCACGATCCGCAAAGGATCGGGCAGGGCGCCGGTGTCACCGGAGTGCCCCAAGCTCGGCCACACGAGGACCGGCGAAGCAGCGGGAACATCGGAGGTGCCGGGAGACATGCTGCAGAAAGCGTGTGTGAGGGTCCAATAGGAGCTAGCACAACATCATCAGTAAAATCAAGAAACTCGAGTTCCGCTGGATTGCTGGGACCATGACGCTCAGCAAAGGGAAAGGCCGTTTCATCGAAGATGACGTGCTCGGAGATGATAACTCTATTCTTTGGAGAGGTCAAGGCGCGGTATCCTTTATGGTGGGCGGAGTAGCCTAAAAAGACACATAAAGCGCGAGACCTAGGAGCGAAGTTTATGAGGAGCGGTGGCGAGACAGTTGGGGTAACACTTGCAACCAAAGACCAAGATGATCATACGTGGCGACTTTGTGAATAGTGCAAAGTGAGGCGTGAGAGAACTGGAGAGTCTTGGTAGGCAATATGTTGAGGAGGACGATGGCGATGGAGAGGGCCTCCACCCAATAGGAGGAGAGCATGGACGCTGAAAGAGCGATGAGCGAACAACATTATTAATGGTACGAATAATGCGTTCGCCTTTACCGCTCGAGGCGAGGTGTAAAGGCGAGGACATGCGAAGATGAATGCCCCGAAGCGAGGAAGAAGTGGCGAGTGCTCAATTGTCGAACTCTTTCCCATTGTCGCCTCGATGATTTGACACGTGTGTCAAACCGAGTGGAGACGTATGAGGAACTCGGGCCAACATCTTTGAAAGTGTCGATTTGAGTCGCAGAGGAAATGTCCACAAGTAATGAGTGCGATCATCAAGTATAACCAAGTAACATTTATAACCGAAACAACGACAACCGGGAGGTCCACGGATCACAATGAATAAGATCAAACTTGCTAGACGCATACGAGAGGTGGATTTAATAAAAGGGCAATCGAACATGACGCCTCTAAGCCGACAAGCATGACACAAATCATGAACAATCACTAATATGGCGCGAGGTGTCTTTGGACGCAAGCTTGGACAACGCCTCATGGCCGGGTGGCTAAGTCATTGGTGCCACAATGAGGAGGAGTCCTGGGCGACAAGGGAATGAGCGGGAGGTAGGCGCGGGGGGTATAAGCGGCCCGAGCTATTGCACCCTAACGATCTCGGTCCGGGAGGAAGAACCTTCACAGAACAACCAACCGAGGTCAAACTCCACAGAACAATTATTGTCGATAGTAAATTGGCGGCGAGAGATGAGATTCTTAATAAGTTGTGGTGACACAAGAACATTATTAAGACGTAAAGAGGAGGACAACTCTGGGAGCCAATTGGTGTGATGGCATGATAGAACCATTACCTCGACAATAGATGAAGGAGTAGGATACCGCAAAGGAAGAATATGTGAAAGAGAGGAGGACCGAGAGGTCATGTGGGAGGTAGCACTGAGTCGAAGTACCATCCACTGGACGGAGGTGGAGTCGGGGGCGTGGTAATCGAAAGCGGAGGCAAGCGCGTCCGGATCCCGGAGGAGGGAAGGCCGCCACGGGGTTGTAGTACCCGGGCGACCAGTGTCTTGGCCGTCGTCGGTGCGGCCAAGCGGCAGCACTGGTATGGTGACGAAAGCTTTCGCTCTTCTGTTGCGCTTTGTGGATGAGGGGGCACCGGATCGGCGCCAATGGAGAGCGAGGCCTCCGCCACATCTGGATGGTGCCCGTCCGGGCTTGTAGTAGCCGGGCCAACGTCCCACCGGGAGTAGGCTGCTGCTTCTGCTGGCGGTGAAATTGCTTCTTGGTTGTGACCAGCAGAGAGGCGCAGCCCTCGCCACCGCCATACCCGCCAGCCAGCCACGCCATCGCTTTTGCTGCCCAAGGCTTTGTTGCGCGCGATTGTTGGAGGACTTGAGCCACCCCGCCTCTGGAGCCCGAGCCGGAAGACGCAAGGGCGGTCTTTGTTCGCCGTAGAGGTAGCAGCGAGAGCGGTGGCGGAGCATCCTTCCTGTTTCTCAAGGTGAGTTCCTCAAGGATGAGGTCGTCGCGTGCCTCCGGGAAGGAGGGAAGGGCGTGTCGCGGAGGAGGAGGGTGCCGACGTGGGCTGAACGCTTCGTTGAGACCGCGCGAATGACGTTGAGGACAAGGGTCCGGCTCGATCCGCGGCCTCGCCGAGGGCGGTGAGATCGTCCGCCATCTTCTTCAACCGGCGACAATAATCGGTGACGGAGAGGTCGCCCTGGATGAAGTTCCGAAAGTGCGTCTCCAGGTGGATGGAGCGAGCCTCCCGGTTGCCGAGGAACTGAGACTCGACGGCAAGCCAAGCATGGCGTCTGCGGTGGAGCCTTGGGCGAGATGATCTCCGCCAAGTCGCTTGTGAGGGTGGCGATGATCCGTGCCTTGACGACGCAGCCCATCCGATCCT